AAATCTGAAGTTGTACTGAATAAAAACCTATTGGACCATAACAGTGAGAATCTTACAGCTGGGCTTTGCTCAGCCCCGGGGTGAATATTATCTGTTGGTAAAGACAGCTGCACGTTATGGTTGCATGAATAATTTCAGGCCTTATATGTCAGGAAGGAGAGAGCTTCACTGATCACAGCCTGTGCAGTTGGCTCACAGTGGACATTTAAGTTTTGATGTGAGTTATTCTTGGGTACCTCTTGCGTGTTACAGGGATGACTCATGGTCAGTTCCAAATGCTGTTTTTTGATTTGAGGGCTCTGCATTGTAGCAGTGTCTGATGCCTGTCTTGCTGTTGAAGAAATGTTCATTAATCCACAGGTGCATTTGAAGGTAAATGTGTTCATGTTTGTCATTTCCTTCTCCTTCTTTCCCTCCACCCTGCTCTCCCTCCATTTTAGGTGGTAGATTTAAAACTGCAAGTAGAGTTAGAAGAGAGGAGGAAGAAAGCATTAAACTTGCAGAATGTCTCAAAAAAAGGTAATAAGAACATGGGAGGTTTTCTGGTTGGTTGGTTGGTTTTTTTGCATGACTTTTTTTTTTTCCTCTTGTATACTGGTAGTAGTATAAGGTTACCCAGAAAGATGTTTAGGAGCTGGTATTTTGTTCCTAGATTTGAGTCATAAATATCTCCTTTCTCCACCTCACTAACTTCCTGTGGGTTACTAAAGCTTTTAACACACTGTAAAGGCTTTTTGTTGCTGAACTCTTGTTTGTGTCAGAGTTCAGTTTTATGTCCCTTGCAGACCATGCATGAGACTGAATTCACTGAAACTGTTGTGTGTCCACCTGTGTCCCACCTCAGCTTGCCCTTCTTTATGAAGTCTGAGACACTTAAACAGTATTGTTGTACTGAAGAATTCCTGTGTTCTTCAGACCCTGGATTAGCTGTAAATGGCATCAAATCTGTTAATGAATTATTCATCTCAGATATGGCAGCACTCTGGTTTTATTATTTTGTGCAGAAAAAAAGCACATTGGCATAACCGTGGTGCTGTGCAGGCTGTTCCACACCAAGTGGCAATTGCATTCAGCCATTTCTTCATCCTCTGTTTGTTTATTTTTATATAGATGTTTTGCAAGGTGAAAAGAAGCATAAATAAGCAAAGAGTGTTTGCAGGTTATGGGGCAAAATATTTATAGCAATTGACCATGTGTCACAGTTTTTGTTTAAATTTAGTTCTAAAGTTATTTAGGAACTGAATATTCTAGATTATATGTTACATTGATTTTCTGATACATCTAGCTTGTATTTTCCGGTGAATTTGATAATTTAAAGTGATATTTATTCAGGTGTTAATAAAAGGCCTTAATATTGACAATATGTGTTTCCTATATTATCCAGTGTCATTTCCATTGGAAATAGAGTGCCTATTTGAGAAAATCCCTTTTATGATAATGTGACTTTTAAAGTCAGAATATCTTGTGTAAATTATTAACAGTCTGTGTGAATGTGAGAGGAACTGGAGGAATGGAAGGCTGCATCTTTAAACTCGTGCTTTTCAAAATGTGATAACTTGGTGTTCTCAGATTAATTCAGAACAACAATTTGAGTGCACAGAGAGACCCGAGCTCCTAAAAAGCACTGTTTCTAGAAGGTCATTTAAAATATATTTTCACTTTAAATAACAGGGCTCAAGAATGTCTAAGAAGTGGGCACTTTGACAGCGTCCTGCAGGTTCTGAGGCAGCTGCTGAGGGTGTGTGATCACCCTGACCTGCTCAGTCCTCGCCGTCCACGCTCCTCCTGTGTGTTGGACAGGCTGCAGCTCACAACTGCCTCTCCAGTGCTGGATGCAGTGGGATGGGACCTTTGGAAGGTGAGGAGGAAGGTAATTCTCCTGTGCTTGACTTGATTTGACTGAGAGAGCCGGTGGCACAGGACATAAAGTTTCTTACACGTAATTCAGGGCCCAATTAAAGTGCAAAATCTGAACTGCTAATTCATTTATTTTTAGGAGCAACTGCTAAGATTTATTATAAATAATAACCATTGATTTTGGGGTAGTACTGAACTTAGTAGGTATGCTGGGAATTTGCTATCCTTGTCAAAGAAAGTGAGACTATTTTGTAATGTTTTCTGGTTTTCCTGAAATTTCCCAATTAACCTGAACTGCTTATCATGACCTGAGGAGCAGGAAAGGAATAGTTAAGCTGTGAACAGCCCTGGAGATGAGAAGCTGTATCAGATTCCAGTTTTGCTTTAACTGTTGTCTGTTTGTTAAAATTACATTGCAAGGGACTTCATCATTTTTTTTTTTTTTTGCTAGTGATTTCAGCAATATTAGGGGCTTAAGAGAGACTGGACAAAGCTAAAAAAAGTAGCACTGTGTGTCCTGGGAAATTCAAATAGTTTCTTCTTTAAGCCTGTTGGAAAAATCATTTGGGGGTGGGGGGACAGGGTGAGCATCAAAGGCTTGTGAAGGAAATGGGGTTAATGTGTCAAGGTGGGAATGGGGGGTCAGGAACACCAGTTCTACAAAGGATTGTAATTCGAGGGTGCTGCCCTGTTTTTGACTCCTGGTAACATGAGCATAATGCTCCATTTTCGTGGTGTAGGTTGTTGAAACCTTTTAAAGTAACAGCAGCTGCTCTCTGAACAGCCACATGACACTTGGCTCTTCCAGGTTTCACTTTAGCTCTGCCATCAGCTGTGAGCTTTTCAGTCATTCTCAGATAATGGGGAATTATTACCATTATTTTTTTTAACTGCAACTGAATGGTAGTAAAATATTTCTTCACTTTGTGGTTTTTTTTTTCTTTTTTTTTAATAACTTAAGCATGCAGACCGGTCTCTCTTCGATGTGATTGGGATGGAAAACCAAATTACTTGCTCTGAGGCACAAATACTGCCAAAACTGAAGGTAACTAGAAAGCTTATTGAAGAGAGTTACTGCTCCCCTTCAACACCCAGACTTGAGCCAGTGAAGCTCAAACCAAACAGGTATGTGGTGTTCTGGTGATTTATTTATTTGTTTGTTGATTGATTTATTTTAAGTAACAGGTGGAAATGGGTAGCATTTATGAGGGCTGAGGGGATTAAATCAGAATTATTTGTTTCTCTTGGTATCTTTTCTTTACAGACTGATCACTGTGTGCCAGCCTTCTGAGGGAAAGCACAGTGATATTTACCACTTAATAGTTCTTTTCATTTGTGAAGGCTCAGTCTTGATCTTTTCTGACACAATAGAGTTGAAGTCTCTTGTGGTTTTGATCAAACAGTGGAAGTGACTTCTGCAGTAGAGTTTCAAAAACAGAATAATTAAATCTTCTCCTAGTTAATTTTAAATCTGAGATGTACTCGCAAAGCACTTAAAGAATTTTTAATTTTTTTTCCTGGGGGAGGAAAAGATATTCTGTTAAATTTTGAGCTTATTTGTTTATTGCTGTTGACTCTGTGAAGAGCAGTTGGGAGGGTTCATTTTTGAGTCTTGGAGCAAATGTAATTTTGCTGTAGAGCAATGTAGCCTTAAATTTTACAATAAATTAACCTGAAAAAAGCAGAGTATGGTTAGTGAAGCCCAAGACAGCTTGTGTGACATGTGGCTGTGACAGGTGACAATGAGGATGTCCTGCACTAGTTTTATTAGGCCATTCTGCCAGAAGGGAGCATTGGCAGTTAATGAAATAAAAGAATTGGAAGGAATAGCTGAAATATATATGTGAAGCAGAATAAGAACTCATTCTTTTCCTGTTTAGACATCTTTGGTTTCCTGGAAGCAGCACACACTAAACAGTTACTGTGAAGTCAGCTTTTACAACTGCAGTGTTTTTAAACCCATACCCATAGTTAAGGCTTTGCTCCATTAAGAAGTTTGACCCTTTTTGGGAGCTCTCTTGCTGTGTCCAGCCTCCAAAGATGATTAAAGGGTATGGGAGCTCTGTCATGCCCCTTCCACATAATCTTTCATTGATGATTGGAGCCTCAGAGCATTTGCATTTTACATATATTGTGTTTCTTCTGCATGTTGAGAGAAGCAGAATCCCTCCTGCCCTATGCTCTACATCTGGGTGCCTCTTCAAGCTCAGATTACTGACTCAAAATAAGTATTTGCCTTTGAGCTTGATTTTTGTATTGGGATGAATGGATTAACAGCTTCCTCGTGTGTGTTTTGTTGAAAGTGTAGAAAGATCATCTGTTAATTTTTAGGTTATTTACACCAGTGCAGTATGGACAGAAACCTGAGGGTAGGACTAAAGACTTCCCAAGGTCTCAGGTGCAGCAGACAGTGGACACAGCAGCAGTTATGGCAGGTCATCATGAGAAAACACAAAGACTACAACCCCTTGCCCTGTTTTCAAACAATCAGCATAGGAAAGGTGTGTTGTATGTAAAATAAACCATTGCTTTCTGGTTTGCTCTCTTTTTTTTTTAAATATTGTTTGAATATGGGAAAGAAATGAGGTTGCACTCCATGTGTTTGTGTATCAAGTTCCATTAGCAGGTTTCTAACAGGACTTTCCTCAAAAAATCAAAATAAAATCCCTTATAATCTATTTGTCCTTCATAAACAGAACAATACTATTGTGCAAACACTGGAAATTTCACTGGAAGTTGTGTTTGTTGTCTTTCATTGCTAAAAATGAATTGTGCAGCAAAAGATCTCTTATTCTGTGCTTAGTTTTCACCCCAAAATTGGCAGTATTAGAGGGAGATCCAGTCTGTTTGCAGTTAAGTGCAGTGGAAGAGTTATGTTTGGAGTCAAGTTGCCCTTCAATAGCAATCCAGTGTCCCACACTGTGTGGATGGGATAAGCATTGAAATCCTGCAGTGTACAGTGAGGAAATTCTTCTTTTTACCTTTGTACCTTCTTTGCTTTCACAGCCAGCAAAACTTTCCTCATGGCTTCCACAGCTGGAGCACAAGAGAGGATTGCTGAGGCAGAGAAGCCTGTAACATTACAGTTTAGAGGGAAAATGTTTACTGTGTCCTACAGTCAATTCTGTCAACTTATTGACAGTCTCTGAAGCATCAAGGTAAGGTGCTACATGATTCAATTCACGTATTTATCTTTTTTTAAAATCTTTTTTTTTAAACTTTTTAACCATTTAGAAATCAAAATTCTAGAATCTATAATTATCTTCATGTTGTAATATCATGTATCTGTGGAAATTATTTTTTTTTTCTTGTCTTGCTGCTTTCCTGGAAAAACAAATGAATTTATTAATGAGACAGTGGATGACCTGAGTACTAAACCTAAATCAGCATCTACGCTTTCATGTCCAGCTCAGGTAGTGTGCTAACTCTTTATATCATAAGTATGTACTTGATCATGAAGAATATATAGTTTACAAGATTCATGTGTGTGAAATAGTCAAAGCTTTAATATTTAAAGCATTTAGAATATTGTAATTTCCCAGTCTGATCCATCTGTACTCGTGGACTCTCCAATAGTTGCTTGAAAGTCCCATTACATTTTTGCCAGTAGGCATAGAGTAGGAAAGCAGATTTATTTTGCATTACAATACCAAACCTAACATCTGTCCCTGTATCACAAATACTAATTATCAGCTTTTCTCCTGCTCTCTTCTCCTTTCAGAGTCATTCACACAACTTTTGTATTATCTGAATGATCCTTATTTTCTACTTCGTTTTGCATAAATTTCTTTTTTTTTTTCTTGCATAAGCTTTATGTGGTCAAAATAGATTCAGAAAAGAATTTTGAATTTAAAGGGTATCCTAGAAGAAAAAAGACAACTAAAGGAACACCTGGAAAAATATATTCTTGGAATGAGCGTCGTTGTTCCAGAACCCCCCTGTATGGCAGAGACCTGTTGGAAACTTGCTCCTGGATCAGTGAAAGAAAAATCTCTCAGCACTTTTCTGCCAGGATTAACAAGTGGTGCTGGGCTGGCTTTGCAGATTGCCTTCCCTATCCCAGTACTGCAGAGGTTCTGAAGGATCCACTGCAGGAACTCATTCTGACAGTGAAGCAGCAACAGATAGCCCTGAAGGATCTTATTATGAGGTAATTGAGACAAATTCATCTGCAGTCTGTGCATGGATTTGATGGGTGTATGCTACCCTCCAACACAGGGTATGTGAAGTACTGTAAAATGCCAGAAGTGATAAATAAGCTGCCCTGTTTTATCCTTTTTGCAGGCTAAATTCCTTTATACTGAATCTATTTGTATCCCAGATGTGTAATTTTAGATCATTTTAAGATCTTAAATAGTTCCATGGCAATTGTCATTAGTTATGTAGCAATTCTACTTTGACTTATCTTGCATTAGTTGTGTTAATACTGACAAAAGAGTAGGAGGTGTAGTAAACTTATCTTGATAACCTTATGGATAGTGGTAATTTCCTCGAGTGTTTTTTAGCATTTACTTGATGCTAACATAAAACTTCACGCACTGATTTACTTTCAGTTGCCCTTAGCCAGGTGCTTTATGTTTCTATGCAAACATCTTCTTTATGACTGTTTTTGAGCCGTTAATAGCCCAAGCAGTGAAGAATTTACTATCATAAAGTTTTGGGTTGTTTTACAGAGATCTCTGCGTGTTGCCAGCTGTAGCTGTCGCTCCTCCACGTTTGCATGTGACCCATCCTCCTCACACATATACCCATGGAATGAAGCTCTTGAAGTCTAATCTCAAGGAACAGCTCCTTCCCTACTCCCACTCAGTGCAGCAGACAGCAAGGCCTCGTTTTGTGCAGTTTCCAGATCCCCGACTGGTGCAGTGGGACTCAGGTATTAAAAACCTACCCCTGGCTCTGCCTGGGCTTTCTCTAATGGTTGCGTGGGACCTGCAGGTTCTTGTTTCATAAACAGGCAAGATGGAAGCTCTGGCTGTCTTGCTTCGGAAGCTGAAAGCAAGAGGAGAGCGTGTGCTGATATGGACACAGATGATTCCAATGCTTGATATCCTGGAGCTTTTCCTGAACCTCCATCTCCTCACGTACGTACGAGTCGGTGAGAGTGGTGCTCACAGCTGGCATTATCTGGTAAGAGGATCTCTTACTCAGGCTAATAGTTAATAGATGCTCATAGTGGGAGGGAAAATGCTACAGGGAAGCCTAATACATTTGCAAAATTCATTTGCATAATTCCCTTGCTTATTGAAGCAAATTATGTATGTAGCTGGAGCACAAATATGTAATTATATATGAAATATATCAGTCATATTACTATTTGATGAGGCATCCAGGGTTTTTCCAAGAAGTATGGCACTAGTTGTCCTATGTTTATGAGTAATTTTTGCTTGAAATGCAGATGTTTTAGTTCACAATAGCATTTTGATTAATTGCTTTTGCTTTCATTATCTGTAGCTATTTGCATTGTTAGCACTTGAAGTGTAGTTGCTGTTTTTATGTTGGCACTTCCTCAGCCTTACTCCAGGGGCTTTTATTTTTTGTAGAGTGCCCTGGCATTGCCTGAGGATAAATTGAAAGTATGCTCATTTCCCTCCCCAGTAAGATTCTCTGTATCCTCTGGGGCCTACAGTTTGAGCAAACATTAACAATATAGTTAAATTATTATCATTTTTTATTTTAAATTGTATCATTATGCTTTCTGTCAGATGCTATATTAAAGAATACTTTGCCCTAAAGCCACGCAAGGCAGCACAAAAGAAGGGATTCAATTTAGTCAACAGACAAAAAAAAATGAGGAAGCATGTACAGGATATAATAACTCAGTCAGGTGTGCTTAGTCAGAGGACATAATGTGATTACTGTAATAGATCTTTAGATTTTTATCTGGCTGACTGGACCCTAAATTAATAGTTTTAATGGTAGACAAATTAATTTTGAATTGTGTGGATCTGTAATGTGGGCAGTCAGATCCCTTAAAACGTTTGCATGCTTAATGTAGGTTGGGGAAGTTATAAGAAAGCAATTTTTCCAGTCTTCTCATTTTGTTAAAAAAGTTTGTGCGGAAATTTATTCTTAATTAATGTGAATTCCTAATTAAGCTGCTTATTTTCCCCATTTTAGGAATCCATAAAAAACTTCAACCAAGAGGATCTTCTGTGCTATCCTTTCTTCCCACACTCCTTCCACAGGTGTCAGTCACATAGATGTGAGCACTGTTGTCTTCTATGACACTGATTTGGATCAGCTGGTGGACACAGAGGCTGAGGAATGGTGTGCTAAAATTGCAAGAGGCAGAGATATCCACACATACAGGTGACTTATGCTAAGAAATAGTATTGGTGTTTTAAAATTGAAAATAGAGGGAAGATGATTTTGGGTGAAACTGGTTCAAGTAATTTGGTCTTCTGAGATCCCTTTAAAGATTATATCATACATCTCCCCTTCAGACTAGAGGGAAAAATGAAAATTCTGTCCTTTTCCTTACTGTTTCTTCTATTCCTGTCTTTCCCTCCCACTTTCATCTTACAAACCATCTGGACTTCTGTGTTGGGACAGTCAAAACAAATATGGGTGTTTTCAGCTCTTGATAAACAAGAAATGCCTTACTTGAGCTATCACTGGATTTCAAATCCACTGGTGATGAGATGCTGCTGTTTGTGTTGTTGGAAGATGTATCTGAAAGCTTCTCTCAAGTGACAGTTTCTTTCCTTGGAAGGCTGTGCTGAGAGCACAGGGGAGCTCTTGCTCACCTTACCAAAGGGCAGGTGGGTGTGCAGTGCAGACAGTCTCAGCAAATACCCTGCTCTTGTATTTTTTTTTAAATCCAGATGTATAGAAGACAGTCTGTTTATTGCTCATTTTGAAAACAAGAGCTTAAAAGAACACGGTGTTCTGAAAATATGAAATCAGGTGTATAAAGAAAGCTTTCCTCTAAAAAACTAAGACTCAAATACAGAACTTCCTATGAAAACACCTGATGGACTCTACATGAGTGTTGGTGCTCACTGCTGTCCTTGTGGAGCATGAGACATGAAACAGTTGGGTTTCACAGAGGATCACTGTTTTATAGGCAACAGCATTTTGTTTTGTTTTACAGGCTTGTAAGTGGTAATTCTGTCAAAGAGAGGCTGTTGAAAAAAGGTATAAAACATTTGATTCAAGAACTGGCTGCTCAGGGAGACGATTGCTCAACAGATTTTTTATCTCAGGTACTGTAACATTAAGAATGTGAGCAGTTACTTAATGATACATTAAAAAAAAAAGTGTTTTTCTAGATCAGAATTTTGAATGGGTAGTTCTGTGTTTATTTCTATACTTGTTTGGGAGCCAGTGATATGTGTTAAAGTCAGTAGAGATCCTGAATTTTTAGCTCATATAGAAAATAGGAAGATAACTATCTAGAAATAAAAGTTGTTCCAATGACAATTTTACTCTATTATTGACATTGTTTTAATCAATCAAAAACAACATCTGCTGCAGCAAAAGCTGTCAAATATATCTGTAATCTGACTTTTCTAAACTCGATTTTAGGATGTTGAAATAATTTTTGACATCATACACTGTCTTATTGAATACTTGAAAACATGTTTCCATAAGGTTCTTTGCTCTGAATGTGGAAATGAGGATTCTAGAAAGTTTACAGAAGAGACACTGTCTGAGCTAAGAAATGACACAGATTCAGAGCTGTATGATTCAAGAAACACCACGGTTCCTCCTCAGTTAGAACAGCTGGCTAGCTTGGGGGGTCAGGTATGGTGACTTCTCTTGTTTTATGGAAACCTTCAGAAATATTTGGAATTTCCTGTGCAACAACCAAGTGGCTTTCATGAAGTACCTTATTTCCAATCTATTTACATTGAAGAGTTCTGTGCAAACTGAAATATTGAAATGCTCCTGGGAGGTAATTTGAGCTTGTTGATAGATCTGTTCATGTACCAAAGCACTTAAGTCACCAAATGTTCTCCTGGGGATTGTAAAGTATATTGGACTAAATGCACTTCATGATATATAAAGTGATATAAAACCAGTTTACAGCCCTGTGCTTTGCAGATACTTGTGATTTTTCTTACAAAGACTAGGATCTGTTCCTTCTTAACCATTAAATGACTATTCACAGCATTCCTTAAGTTCTGTCAGATTTGGATTGTCTCTTTTTGCCTTTGACTACTTGTGCAGGACCCAAGCCTGCTTACTAATGACCAGTCAAGAGTGTTTGTAACAACTTGGGTGGGATTCTCTTTTTTTTTTTTCCAGTTAGGAAAATGGAAGCCAATACTTGGAGCCTATTTTCAATGGTACCATTGGGATGGGAGCAGACGAGTTAGAACTAGTCATGTTCTAATCATGTTGTATTTGTCCCAGAACACAGGTGGTTATCCTCTTGGTGTTAGCCAAGCCTGTGCTAAGGACCGGGATTCTGAGCGTACCCAAATCTATATGAGTTGGTGACAATGACTGCTAGAAAAAGAAGTTCTTCAAAGAGGTTTCTGTAAGTTTAATTCTACTGTCAATATTTTTTCCCAGATTTAACAGTAAATCCCTTCGGTGGCCTGATTGGTGAATTTTTTTTTCTTAAGCACAAGAGGTGTTTCACAGGGGCCTTTCTCTTGTCAAAAATTCTGTGATGACTTTTAGCCTTGAGTTATGTGAAAGAATCAAACCTCTGCTTGTGCTGATGTAAAGAGAAGCTTGAAGTGCTTCAGTATTGCTCCATGGGATGCACCAGGAGGGTCAGCCCAGGCTTTCAACTCTTTGCTCTGGTCTGACAGTGTAGCTGCCATATTTCCAGGTAAAGAACAGCCTGGAGTTCCCTGCTAATCCCCAGCTGTGTCAGATCTTAACTGCAGATTCCTCTTCCAGAATTTTAGAATTATTTCAGTTAAAATGTCATTAATATTAAAATAGTTGCACAAAATTCAGTTACCTTAAGCTACTTCATTTACTTTCAGTGCAGAGAACTATGACAAGCTCCTACCAGTGTCTGGGGTTGTTTCCACCCGTGCAGAGCCTTCGACAGTGCAGGAAAAGGTCCGTTCAGTTTTTCCAGGTGAATTCCATTTGTTTCATTTTTGGAGCATTTCAGCAATGTCAGAAGCAGCCAACCCTGATGTATATAATAATTTTTTTTTGTCAAGTCAGACTTTTTGATTGCAATTATTGGTTTAGAGACAACTAGGAATTAATTTCAGGATAAATCTTTACATGAATTCACAGTAACAACTGTGGGGTTTATCTACTCAGAATTAAAACAATTACAAAGAGGCCTCCTGCTGTGATCCCTCCTTCCACCTCTTTCTGTTGTCTTAGGCCTTGAGTGAAGAACAAATACGTTCTCAGATGCAGGAGCAACAACCTCACCAGCAACAAGAAGAGGAACAAACAGTGGAGCAAATCCAAACCCAGCATTATCCACAGGGGCAAACACAGGACAACACAGGCTGTCCTGAGCGAGTGGAAGTCCTGTGAGCTCACAGAATCACTGAATCACAGAATCAGTGAAGTTGGAAAAGACCTCTGAGATCATCGAGTCCAACCTCTGACCCAACACCACCTTGTCAACTGGACCATGGCAGTGAGTGCCACATCCAGTCTCTTCTTAAACACCTCCAGGGATGGTGACTCCCTGGGCAGCCCATTCCAATGTCTGATCACTCTCTATGAAGAACTTCTTCTTGATGTCCAACCTAAACCTCCTCTGGCACAGACTGTGCTCTATTGTCCTACTGCTGGTTTCTGGGAGCAGAGCCGGACCCCCACCCCGGCTCCCCCCTCCTGTCAGCGAGCAGGTCTCCCCCGAGCCTCCTCCTCTCCAGGCTGAGCCCCCCAGCTCCCTCAGGCCAGCCTCTCCTCCCAGGACTTGTGCTCCAGTCCCCTCACCAGCCTCGTCGCCCTTCTCTGGAGCTCGCAGGTGTTGTGGACTTTTACACCAAATCCTGAAGGACAGCCCTGCCCGCACAGAAGTTACTTCCCCCTCCGCTGTCAATAAACACGAGTTTGTCCGTCCTGTTGCCGACTCTCGTTCCTATCGCGACATACGCGGGGGGGGCGACAAGAGCCCTCTCTCACACCCTCCCTGCTGCGCAGGCGCAGCGGGCGGCGCATGCGCGGGCGGTGCGTGGGGCCGTGCGCAGGCGCGGCGGGCCCGCTCCGTGTAGTGGCGGCGCTGGTGGCGGCGGCCCCGCCCGCGCGTCCTGCCCGGGGCCCGCGGGGAGTGCGGTGAGTGCGGCCCGCGGGGCCTCGGCGCGGCCGGTACGGGTCCCCACAGCCTCCCCGACCCCCCTCCGAGCCTCGGGGGGCGGCCGCGAGGGGGGGCGCGGGCAGGGCCGGGCGCGGCGGGGGGAGCGGCGGCGGCGGCGGGGCCGGTGCTCGCCCCGGGGCCCGGGCGGCCCCGCTCCGCGCACACAAAAGGCGATTCTCTGCTCCGGGACCTCCCCTTATCGGCCTGTAATTAATTAGGTGTTTTCGCTGGAGCCGTGAGTGTTGGCGAGGTGCGAGTAATTAGAATAATAGGAGCTTGTTGCTGGCGGTAGGTTGGTATCGTTTGAATCTTAATTATTTGGTGTCGGCGCTGCGAAAGAGCCACAACACCGCCAAGAATTGCGCTGTTGTTAAATCTCGTGGAAAAAGGGCCTGTAAGGAGTGGAATTTTTTTTTTCCCCTTCCCGCTCTGCGGGCGGAGCTCGCTCGAATTTGAGCTCCGGGGAGCGGGAGAGGCGAGAAGCCGCCGGGATGAGCACTTGGGCAGGAGAACGGGACCCACCGGGATGAGCCCCGGGGCGGGAGAGCGGGACCCACTGGGATGAGCCCCTGGGCAGGAGAGCCGGGAGCCGCCGGGATGATCCCCTGGCACGGCAGGTCCCGGGCTCTCGGCCCCTCCTGTCCCTGCTGTCACCTCTGTGACAGCGCTGCCCTGCTGCACCTTCCCGGGCAGCCGGCACTTTCCCGCGGCAAGGAGGGGAGTATCTCCATCCCCAGGGCTTGAGCAGATTGTGCAGACAGCCCAGGACACAGGGGAGCGGAGAGTTGCGATGTGTTCCGTGCCTGGGCAGCGGGGAAGCAGGACGGGCAGCTCCCGCTGCATCCCGCACTTCCCAGTAGTGCTTCCCGGTAGTTCCGCGGTGCTGCTGCCTGTTGCCACTTGCAAACAACTCGGAGTTAGGAACGCAGAGGCAGCACGCTTGTTTATGTGTGTGTTTGTGCTGAAATACCAAACCCGAAACTGTTGCTTTCAAAATGCGAGACTTTGATTTAAAAAAAAATAAAAAATTACCAGGTTTCATCTTTCTGCTAGTCACTGCTGTGCGACTCCCAGCCTGAATCTACCTGTCTGCACTCGTCTGTGGGATTTTTGTTTGTCTGTGATTGAAATAGAAAGGCAGAACGGTTTTTTTGGGGGTTTTGGGTAGCTTGCCTGAATAAACAGCATTTTAAAAGAATTGCAGGTTAGGTTAATTTTAATCTCTTAAGTGTTCTGAGGGAAAGAGAAGGCTGAGTTAAGCATCAAGTACAGTACTTTTTCAAGCATCCGGATGATTTGGTAGGGAGTTTATTCATGATGCATTTTTTGAGTTGAATAGTCGGTCCATTTTTATATTTTTAGTTACCGTTGAAGCAATGAACTATATGTTATAAACAATTATGTTTACAAGAACTTTGCATTAAGAGTTAAAAGCACTGAAAGATTGGGAATAATAAGCAAAAAAAAAAAAGAGTAGATGTATTTATATTGGAGTCTTGATTCTTGAAGTTCCATGAAAAGGGAAAAAGTTTTCTTTGTTGGTTTTTTTATTTATTTATTTGAAGTCATTCTAACTAGCTAAGGGGAACATATCATTCTTTAGTTATGATATTCTGTAGTTATGATGATGCTATAGTTATAATATATTCTATATCATAACTATTCAATAGGACTTTGTTAACTAGAGACATGTATGAGGGATTTAAGTGAGCTTTAGTTGTGCTGAGGGTTTTGGATAATTTGAAACATTTTAAGTAACTGGCAAACCAGGATAAGAGAAGTTCTTGCTGTAAGGTAGTCTTTCTAATGGTAACTAGATAGTTTCAGCTACAGAAGTGATTTTACCTTCCCTGAATTTCTGCTTTTGTGTATTTCTTTAGAGTATACTGTAAAACCCTAGATCAGTG